ATCCACACATACGCACACACATATCATATATCCATACACGGACACACTCTAATTATGCACACACACACACACATGCACACACACACTCTAATTATCCACACATACACACTCTCATCATCCAAACATACGCACACACATATCATATATACACACACAGACACACTCTAATTATCCACACACACACATGCACATACACACTTATTATCCACACACACACATTCTCATCATCCAAACATACGCACACACATATCATATACACACACAGACACACTCATTATCCACACACACACTCTAATTATCCACACATGCACACACACACACTCATTATCCACACATACACACTCTCATCATCCAAACATACGCACACACATATCATATACACACACAGACACACTCATTATCCACACACACACATTCTAATTATCCACACACATGCACACACACACACTCATTATCCACACATACACACTCTCATCATCCAAACATACGCACACACATATCATATAACACACACACACACACACACACACACACACACACAGGCTCTTCACAGACTGCTGTGTCTCTCTCTTCTCTGCAGGGCTTCCAAAGAGAATCCAGCTCTGAGCGAGAAGAAGAAGTCCAGTATCTGGCAGTTGTAAGCATCTCCTCTCAGCTCTCCTCAGTGTTAAACGTGTTCAGTCAGTGTGTGTGTGCGGTTTGGCCGTCACACAGTGTTTCCCCCTCTCATTTTATGTCCCCCTTTTTATTTGTTTTCCTTCTAGGATGTAGGTAAATCTTAGAAACACTAGTAAAGCTTGCACTCGGTTTGATCCTTGAATCCAACAATGTGTTCTTGGACGTGGGAATGGTGTTTATTAAAGCACAGCCCAAGCAGAGCAGGAATTTACAGCCGCAGCATTACATGACATTAAACTCTCAATGCTTGGGTGGTCATTACACTCATGATTAGAGGATCAGAAATCCGCCTGCATGCGGCGGGGGGGTCCGAAATGCCATTCCCAGGTCCTGTCAGTGAACGTGGGGGCTTTGCATTTGGGGGCATTTAAGGTTTCTGCATCTATTTTAAACCCATTCATTCTCCTCTTGTGCTCCTGTGTGTTTCTGTAACCCTCTTCATGTCGTCCTGTGTGTGTTTGCAGAAGGTGTGTTTGGGACAGGGCTTTATTAGGGAAAGGGCTCTGAGGTTTAGATTGGGGATGTTGATGTGGATCTGAATGTGTGTGGAAGGATGAGCTTGGTGTGCTTTGATAAAATACTGTAAGAGAAGAGCGTTGGGGTTATATTTAATCAACAGCTCCTGTAGACTGATTTCACTGGGCTGCCATTTTAAAAGCGAAATCGAGGCTGCGGTGGGAAGAACCCAGTCACACAGTTTGTTGTGTACGTGGATGGATGTCTTATCAGCGAAGAGAAAGGGACACAAATTTATCATCTCACTACCTTCCGAGTGACCCGAAGGTCCGTTCTGAATGGATAGTGAAAATAAAAAGGGATATCAGCGCTCATTTTCAGTTAAAGGCTGATTTTTCGCTGACGTGCACCTCTCAAAAAATGTAACTACACGTCGCAACGACGCGTAGCGAAAGCTCTGTGATTGGTCGGCTTGGTAGCGCTGACGAGTCTGGGCGGGCCCGAGAGCCGTGCGAATGGCGCGAGCCCGATGGAGCGATTGTTTACAAGTGTGAATTTGCTCGAAATAACGCAAAAACAACCAATTTACACTTGTTAGTGAGATATAGGTGTCCTAATAGTGTTTTTAGCAGTGTGGGACACATATACCACTGTCAACAGCTCAAACACATGTGTTTTGGTGTTTCGTGACCCTTTAAACAGCGCTAATTTGCCATAGTATTTGCCATAGTATAAAGTCGCTTATCGACTCATCTTCGTGGCTTTTAAATGCTCCAGCGCTTGTGTATCTGAGAATACTCGGTGAAGATCAGTAAAGGAATTACCTTCATGGCCAAATGACTTGTTCTCTGCTGCATGTCTTTAAAATATGAACGTTTATTTCACTCCACAATAAAAACAAAGCGTGGACGAGTGGGATGATGGCGTCTGCCGCTTTACAAGCATTAACAGACGATTAAGGATGTAATATTGGAATATTTTGGTTTCAAAGTCACAGACATCAAATAAAAACAGGTGGTTTGTAAGTATTGTTGCCACAGCACGAGGAAATACAACAATCAGCACCTAATAAAGCACCACAGGCAGCTATACGAGGAGCGGCTTGCTAAAAAGTCAGTGAAAGTACTGCCAGTGACACTCAATCTAGTAGCAAGCAACAGAAAAGCACAAGTTATTTCAGCCATGTTAGTTCGAGTGGTCTGTATTTTTATAATTAACAGCCCCTTTCACACAGTGATACCAGTAAATATCTGGAAAATTTCCGGAACGACTTTACCGGTATATTCAAAAAAGCGCTGTTCACACAGGCGAGGACGTTACGGAAATTTTCCGGAAAAAAGCATTCACACATCCATTCCAAAATACCAGTAAATTCTGACATCATTCACCACAAATGAGCTTTAAACGGCTGCGCTTGTATTTGTAAACATTTGACTAAATTACAAACTCTGTGGATGATCAATATTGTAAACAACTTTCGCAGGATCACTTTCTCATGTCGAGATGTCCATAATATGTGCGTGTGCAGGCGCTCATAGGCGCACGCAAAGCTTGAAGGTGAACAAACAACGGCTTATCATAAGCATCTCATCGATGATTATTTACACAGTTGACATTAATAAGAACATATAAACGTGATCTGACTAACTTCTAGCAGCTAAATGTGTCTGGAAAAATATTCAAAGGCTTTTATCCTCACAAACCGCGCGGACGTAAATGCGTCTGACTGTTGTGATTGGCTAAAGCAGACGTCTCACGTCAGCACGTTCTAGACGTGCACGCGCTTATTACGGGAATCTTCCTTCTGCGTTCACACAGCGCAGCATTCCGGCAAATTGCCGGTAATGTTACAACTTCTCTTTCCGGAAAATAGCCAGAACGAATTTACCGGTATTTTCAAAAAGGACCTGTTCATACATACAACCTTTCCGGAAAATTGCCGGCAATTTTCCGGAAAGGTCTGTATGTGTGAAAGGGGCTATTAATTATTGGTTTGTATAATAAGCTGCACTATCTCCCTAATATGAGTTGAGCTTGTGTTTCTGAATATTGAAGTAATTATCTTTGCAGTTTCTTTGTTTTAATAAACACTCACTGCATTTTAGCAGTAAGAAGCTACGATACAGATTATTGAGCTATAGCTCGACTTCAAATTTAAATCGAATCAATTCTAAATCGCAATATCCGTCTAAAAAATCACGATTAGCTATTTACCCCAAATCGCACAGCCCTAGTTTACACCACATCTGCATTTTAAAATCGCAGCAACAGCTGGAGGTTTGTAGTTTACAGCATGTTGTTGCGGTGTTGACAGTGCTCATCCTATACTTTCTTCCCATCGCAGCCTCACTTTCGTTTTTTAAAGTGGCAACCATTTGACATAAGCGTATTAACAGCGGATTACCAAAATAATAGTTTTCATAAGATCATAATATTCATATTTTAAGGGATTTATATCTCTGCACAGTGTGTACAGTTCTCTTATAACAGTACTAACACTGTTTTAATCTGATTCCTTTTACATGTTTTTTTAACCTATCAGAGGCTTGTTTTCTTAGCATGGCTGCATTTACTTTACATCTCTAACAACTCTCCAGAACACCCTAGTAACCTCCTAGCAACCACTCGTAATGGACTAGTAACCTCGCCACCATTGACAACACCCCATCAATGACCCATAGCTCCTTTGGAAATACGTGGTAGCACAATAGCAACAACCTAGCAACCACTTAGAACTTTCAACTGCATACAAGTGGCCAAGCAACCCCCTAGCAACCACACACAAAGCTCTCGCAAATGCAGAGTAACACCCTAGCTACCACCTACCAGCTATTTAGCAACCACACCATAGAAACACCCTATCAGCCGTCTACCACTGCTTTAGCAAAACACCGGACATGATGACAACAATAAAACCACCCGTAATAAACACCCTAGCAAGCATCTAAAAATTGCATAGCAACACCCTAGCAACCGTCTACCAATGCTTAAGCAGCAACATGATAGCAACTTCATAACCATCCATAACAGTCTTATAACCATATAGCAAGTGCATAACAACCAGCTGGAACACCATAGCTCATGCATGGTAACACTGTATCAGCTTCTCTGATTACCTTTATGACTACATAGCAACACCCTAGCAACCAGCCAGAACACTCTTGCAACACCTTAGCAATATTTCATTACCAATGATTTAGCAGTCACCCAGGAAACGATATAAATTACCCTTAACACCCTAGCAACCATTTTAGCAAATATATAGCAACACCTTGACAACTATCTACACTGTATGATGTATATCATCATATTGCATAACCGTACGATATAGTTCCGCTTTTGTAACTTAAATCAATTAATAGTTTATTTATATTGACCACATGTAAGGAACATTTAAATATGTGTATACTCGGAAATGTACTTATTCATATGTGATCATCTTTCTCACTTTATTTACTACTTCAGATGTTTAATAAGAATTGTGGAAATATAAATAATAAATATGAATAAAATTTTAAACACCTTTTTAAAGAAAAATTATTACAGGTCCAACGTAAAAATAAAGAATATCGATATATAAAATGCTTAATCTAAACATTGTACTTTCACGATTGCGACTTTCTCACACCGCTGTTATTGATGTTATTCTAATAGCGTTTAATATTGTTATGATTATTGTCGTATAAATTCTGAAAATATTTTACTATATATATATATATATATATATATATATA